GCCGCCCCGCGGCGCCCGGGACGGCCTAGCCGGCAAGAAGCTGCGTTGAGGGCCCAGGCTGGCCGCCGCCGGGCCGCTCAGCGCGCCCGCCCCCTGGCTGCCGGGGCTCCAGCAGTTGGCTCTACTCGGCGATGTCGTCTCGGTCGTTTTTCAGAGGAAGCCGGCGTGTGGAGTACTCTACTGCCGACGAGCGATGGAGACTAGACACTAAAACCTTAACACTGTCTCTTCACAGTTGCTAGTCTGTGCACACCCGGAAGGGCAAAGGCTGCGCGTGACTCCGTTTGCTGAACGATGGAAACTTAGAGGCGCTGTTTGTTTACTGTATGCATCGGCCTGTTTTAGATGTGCATCAGTATGAAGTTGTCTCTAATCGTGGATGTTTCACTTAGCAATGGACGCACTTTACGAGGTCTAGAATATTTTTTTAAGCCTCTGAACTGAGCATAGGACTGGCGATTTTACGGGATGTCGGCAAAATGATTTTTATTGTTTCAAGCCAGTAGTATTTCTCAGTTGTCCTTAATCACTTATTCTAAATCCAGGTGGAGCCAAGCCCCTGTAGCATCACCGTGAGGAGAAGCGGTTTACTGAAGTTCTCAGTATTCATTTGGGTGGGTGGCCATCCATGCCCTGTGGCTTGGTGCCATTCCTAGGTGAAGGTGGTAAAAGGCGCAACTTGTAGAGGTAGAATACAGCTCCCTGCGCTTCTCTGTACCAGATCTTTTATTACTGAAGTAGCCACTAGCCTTTTCCCACCTTTAAATTGTGCCAAGTTATCATATTGTGTATACACTTGGAAATGGTGCTGTTTAAGATTTTGTGTATTTATACAGTAACAGTATATGAATTCATTAATCTTATTTACAATTTTTCCACTTGGCCTTTTCTCACCCTCCCATGTCATTATTTAAGAAACATCTGTCATGTTGTTATCTATGAGGAGGAAGGCAAGAGTATTAATTTACCGTAAGTTGCTCCATTTCAAGATTCCTTAGTGGAGGAAAGCCCATTCCAGCTGATGCCTCTCAAAACTAAATGAAGATGGAATCACTTGGGCTCTAGGAGGTCAGTGTTAATAACCCATTCACCGTTTCCCTTTGGCTGTCTGACTTTAGGCATGGGCAGTCCTCAAACCAGAATAAGCACTAATTTTAGCAACTAAATGCAAAGGCTGGAGACAGACAAACCTCCCTCACATTCCCATCCTCACTGGACAGACCCTAGTGGTCTCTGGAAGCCCACTAGCTATCCCCAAGTGAGATTACACAATCCTCAGACAAAGCCTCTTCCCTCGTGTCCCCTCCTCAATGCTGAAAGCCAAAGCATGGCATGTGGCAGTATTGGCACTTAAGTCCACATATACCGAACGTACACTTTTCACTACCTGAAAATACCAACAAAAAGTACATGAAGCTTCCAGTAGGAGGGCCGGGCCGGGGCCTTATGGGTTAAGACTACTTCCATATAAAACACGTCTCCAAGAGCACCCTTGGCTTAATCTGGATACACCTGAAGGTGCAATACAAGGTAGGGTGGCTAACAGGCTAGCTGTGGGCCTTTCTGGTTAAAGGAAAAGATATGTTAGAACTAAGGGGGTACAGATGAGCACCCCACTTCTTAGCCCTAACAAGTCTAATCCCAGGTCAGAATACTTCTGATTTGACTGGGCCTGACCTTTTTAAGTAGCTTGATACCACCAGGCAATTGCTTATTCTCTAATCTTTTACTAGAAAATAAACCAGTTTGTTTTTGCTTTTTGGGTAGTTTTCAGGCCAACCTGAATTCCCATCACCTTACAGGGCTCTGTCTTTCCCACAGGGTCACCATACACAGACTGCTGCATTTCATAGGCCAGAGGCCTCGACAAGCAGCAGGACCAGCCTGATTAGGTCTTCAGTACTTGTAGAAGGGCCGAGTCTTAGACACCAAGGGAATCCAGGCCTCAGGTGTCCCTTTGATGTATGAGAATCGCCATGATGGGCTGTGTTGAAAACCCTCCTCAATCAAGTAGTCAGGCAGCCATGTCAATCCCTTTCAGAAGGCACCCCATTCCAGCCCCACCCCCCAAAAAAAATCTGCTTCCACTTTCCAGCTAACACTGAAATACTGGAGTTAAAGCATGAAAAGGGGTAACTCTTTTGGTAGTGTTATCATTTCTAAGATCTCATAAAAAGTATATTAACCCATATCCTGATACATTTAGAGCTTCATCTGAAACTTTAACACTTCCCAAAATTGTTTAGGATAAGAGAAATCTAATGTTTCAAAGTAATGTTATCTTAAGAACCCCCTGCACCCCTGGCTAAGTAACAGAATGGTACCCAGACCCCCCGTTTACCAACCATGGAGGTAAAGATGGCCTCCACCTGCCCTTTCTTGCAGAGACTTCTTCCCAGTGGCTTCTCATTTTCCTACCAAGTTCTTTGTGGAAGTTGAGCAATGGTTAGTTTTGAGTAGAACGACTTTTGCCATAAATGTGTTGTTCGGTGCTGTCAAGTAAGCCTGACTCACCGTGACCTGTGAACACAGAATGGGCCTCTGCCCTTCCTGAGCCCTCCTCACGACTGTCGCTGAACGCGATCCCACTGCTGTAGCCACTGGGCCCATCCATCTTTTTTCTCTACCAAGCACGCGGTCCTTCTGCAGGGACTGGGTCCTCCTGATAACATCAATTTATTAAGCTGAAATTACACATTTTAAAACCAATGCTGCAGATCTGTTCACTTCAAGCAGAAGTTTCAAGTCCATTCTCAGCCACGTGAGAAAGAGTCCTTCTTTTTCAGTTGGTCTTACAAAATTTTCAGTTGCTCAATCCAAAGTCTCAATCTCTTTGATAGAAACCACAGGTGGCTCCTGACATACAAGCATCCCACAGAGATGCCAATGGCACTCCCAGTGGTCACTGGTGCTTGAAACTGCTGGGTCAGGAGCAGCCTTCTGGATGGCCGGCTCCACCCTCAGATCCAGCTGCATCAACAGCCATCTTATTCCTGTGTAAAAACACAGAACTACTGGGAACTCTGAAGACCTGTGAGCACAGCAGTCCATGGTCTGGCTGCTCTGCCTTCCTCTGCCACCTTGAGGTCAAGGTGGGAGAGCGCCAAGATGGGGGGGCTTTGATAAGCACCACAGTGGGAACCTGAAAGCAGAGCATGAAGCAGCAACAGACTGGAAGAAACACTTCCACCTGGGCTGTGGCTTCTGACGCCCAGGACACAGGACTTGGAGGAGCAGTATGTCTACGAACCGTCAGGGAGCGGGCCGCACTGACATACATACGTGTGTAGCTCATTGCCTTAGATGAGCTGTCCGTGGGGACCCACCTGTGACATTACACACATAGTTCAGCTCTAATAGTAGCTTAAAACTCAGCAGGTTACTGCCCAGGATACAACTCCTGGTCTTAAGTTCTTTAGCTCATGAAAGAAAAGCCCTCTCCCCCGCAGAAGACCTTTTAAGACTTCCACTCATATGAAATACCAGCTATTATAAAAGTGAAATATGTTTAGAGAGCAGTTTCATCCTCCGTAACCACAGTGAAAGCTGCGGATTACTTAAGCTTTAACGTGCCCTCTTCTGGCCACAGGGTTGCAACAGCAGGAGTTCTCACTGCTGTTCAATTAAATTTAAGTGCCTACAGCTGCTATGTACCACCCGACATTTTCTGAAACCATGATTTTTCTAATTTCAGGGAAAAATCCAAGATGGTACATATACCGTACACACAAAATCCACAGAAGTTCACAGAGAAGACAGCATTAACAGAAAACTACCAGGTCCCCAATGAATGCGCAGAGACACTTTCAGGGGCTTATCATTGCTGCATCTGCTTTCTGTATAGTAAGTTATTTTGATCGAGACATTTAATGGCACTGGTTACGAAACTCAAGTAACGCAAACTCAACTAAATATGCAAACTCACCATTATAAACAAAATACTGACCATAAATCAACTAAAACAAATTCTGTAAGTATTTTATTTATCACTGAGGAAAAAACACAGCAGCAAGTTCTGTGTTGGCTTCAATAAGACCAAACAGTTAATCTTTAACATAGCTTCTACACTCCAAAATTGAAGTCAACACAGTCATTACTACAAATTACTTACTGAAAGAATCTAACCTGAAAAGAAAATTAGAAAAAAGAATTTAAACAATTCCTCCAAACCACACATTTTATAAATATTGTCTTTTTTAAAATGCTTGGAAGGCATGAAATCTCCATTAATGGAAAAGCAGTTTGCTATTGGCAAAAGAAAAAACCCAGTAATAGTTGACCCAATGCTTTATAATGTAAAAGCTCTACTGTTTAGAATTCACACTTCAGCAATATTCTTGTCATTACAATAATGACTGCAAATTGCTTTATACTTACCTTAAGTAAACTCTACAGAAAACCCCACTGGATCCAATTGTAATGTTTACTGCACTTAAAGTGAAACTAAAAATTTTTAAATTTTAGTTAATAGTAAATACCTCCAAATACCTAAAGAGGTATATTTCAACAGCTAATGCTGTGGAAATTGTTCAGCTCCACCACTTTAGAGTCTTCAAATACATTTTCTGTAATAGAATCTTACCTCATTCCAAATTAATATTAGATTATTTCAAAAATCAAAAGGAAAAAAAGCAGCCCTATACCAAGATATAGGTGTTACTCGATACCTGAAGGGTTCACATTTTCAATTTATTTTTTAGTTTTTCTTTTTTGTAAACAAATGATTGGTGAAATAATGCAACACCTTAAATTTCAGAAAATGGCATGGTTTTCCAACCTTCTGCAGATACGGTGCATGATCAATCTATTATATAGGATTAATACAAGTTCATGCTTTTTGTATTATGGTGAGACATTAGTTATAGAATCCAATTTAGACTGGTTGAAGCACAAGTATAATAATCCTCAAATGTGATCAAACCTACGTGAGACACTAGTTTGCATCCGTCCTCGTGAGACTTAACGTCGTACTGTGGTCCATCCGTCTTCATCAGTCTCATTTTTAGTACGACGGAGAGAGTCTTTCTCTTTCTCAGCCTTCCAGGTGCCCTTTTCTTTGTCACCTTCTCTTTCTCGATCTCTTGAAAGAGCCGGGGGAGGAACACGACGAGGGGTGTCCCGTTCTTCAGCCCGGTCATCTTTTCTGTCATCAGCACGCCTCCAAGAACTGGCTAAAAGGTGACAAAGATTTAATTTTGCACTGTTTTCTCTTGGCTCAGACTACATAGAACTTAAGCAAATTAAGTTCTCTCAAATAATTCAGAAATCCAATAACGAATGCATAATAACAGAACTGAAAACAATAAAAGCTAATTACATGTTAATGATTTCAATACAATTTATAACCAAACCTTTAAAATGGCACATAGACTTCAATAAATTTTAACAGCAAATTAACCACAGAACATGGAAGTTTTTAATTACAACTATTACAGAAAAAATATCCTTATGATCCAACTATGCAAATAAAATCTTAAAAGCCTGCAAGACAGCTCCTTAAGTACTATGGGCATTTTATACACAACCAATTTTCAGTGAACTGTCAACTGCTGAATTTCAGAAAAAGAACATTTAAACTCTGTGCTTATCTACCAGGTCCTCACTTTAGAATGTTTCTTCAATTTTCATAAACTTTCTTATCAACAGACACTGTTTACCATCCAATTTAATCAGTTTACCGTTGCTGAATGCTGTCAAGTCAATTTCAGCTCATAGCGACCCTATGTGACAGGGCACAATTACCACCTATCAGGTTTTCTAGGCTGTAATCTTTACAGGAAGACACCATCAGGTGTTTCTCCTATGAACCACCAACCTTCTGGTTAGCAGATAAGCGCTTAAATCACTGCACCACCAGGGTGCCTTACAATTAGTCTACTTCTGTACTTGTAATTCAGCAGTGAGCTTCAAAACCACTGAGTAGTTTATGAGAACCATGAGTTCTAAACTGAATTCAGTATCTGTTAAAATCTTACTTGTGGTATACATACGACGTCCCAGATAATTCCCTTGGAAGTGAGTGTTCTATGCTCAGAATTGTGTGTAAAGCTTTACCTTCTTCGCGTTCTGATCTGAGAGGAGGGCCTCTTCGGTCTCTGTCATCCCGCCTCTCTCTCAAATCACGGCGATCATCTCTCTCACGACGACGGTCATCCCTGTCCCAGTCATCCCGGCGATTTGAGTCTCTCCAGCTTGAAGATTCCTCAGCCGGTCCTCTTCTCCAGCCACCCTCATCCCTGCAGCCATTTAAAATGGTAAGTTACATTCTGTTGTTAGACCACATGGGTAATTGTAACTGACTATATTACATCCAAGTTGGTGCTCTGAGAATTTACCAACAGGGTGATGCTAAAACTCCTAACGTGACCTCAATTTGATGCCTCATGGCAGAGATCTAATGAGATCAGGATCTGTGCTGTCCAACATGGCAGCCACCGCCCACACATGGCTGCTGAAGTGTCGATGAATGGAAATTAAGAAAGTCAAGGCATTCCTTCAGTAGCACTAACCACATGTCAAGTATTCAAAAGCCAAAACTACTGGCCACCATACTGGACAGTATAGACAGAACCTCAGAGAAAATTGTGTTGGACTGTACTAGTCTAGATTAGTTAGTACAAGGCCACTTTGGTCACAAAGGAAACAAGCTAGAATTTCTATCACTAATAAAGAGAAAGGACTTTCCATAATTTAAGTGCAATACAACTGATTTACTTAAACTACAGGGAAAAGCAATGGACAGGTGGAAAGACCTCAACAGGTTCTATTAACGGTGGTGCAGCCACTAGACAATTACAGAGCATAAACCCTCATTCCTGAAGGAACGTCCAATCGGAGGACCTCTAGGATTCTTCCAAAAATTTTCTGACAGAAAAATAGGGCATGAGAAGCACCCTTTCTCAAAAACAGTTTGGAATGCCCAGCAGGGTGTCGAGAGAGCCCATATCAGAGCCCTACAAAGGCTTTCATTACAACACCGACCTGGGTCGTCGGAAACGGTCCTCTCGGTCCACGTCGCGCTCTCTCTCCCTTTCTCTCTCCACACCCTTGTCACTCTCGTCCCGATCTTGATGATCTCGATCCCTTTCTTTTTCTCGATCCCATTCAGGGTCTTCTGATGGTCTTGATTCTTGGCGTGGACCCCAACTGTTTTCTCTGGCTTTTTCTCTATCTCTCCATCCACCTATTGTTTAAGAAGCAAAATATTTTTTTTACTCAACAAACAGAGACTGGCCATCATCAACAGAGAGCCTAGTGTTGGCATTCGTCTATCAGTACTGTGAAGGCTAATCCGACTCTTGCCTCATCGAGCAGAAAACACTATTTATGTCCTTCTAAAGTCACTGGATCCTGTCCCTGACTCCCTATGAGCAGTTTCTCTACCTTCTGTATTATTTTTAAAAAATCCACTGCCATCGAGTCAATTCCTACCCACAGTGACCTCCATCACATTTCCAAGGCTACAAATCTTTACAGAAGCAGGCTGCCTCATCTTTGTCCCACAGAGCAGCTGCTGGGTTCTAACTGCCTCTTGTTTAGGTTAGCAGCCAAATCCCTCAAATACAGTGCTATAAGAACTCCTCTATATTTTAGAAAATTCAAACAGTCTGAGTTGAATATTTCATAAATGAAACTATCAGTGATAAACTGATAGTTAATTTTTCCTGTTGCAATGCAGAGATTTGGGGTGTAAACATCTGTTCTGATGGTAAGAAGATCACTCATTTAAGTAGAAAACTTTATGGATAAGGGGTAAATCTTGACCTCTGAGACAGACAGAGGCCCAATTTAGGAGTTCACTTAGACCATGCCAACATTTTCAGTCTTCATAACCTAGAAAGTCTCTTTCCTGTCGTATCCAGGCCCTCTGCAATTTATTACCTGTCTAGTCATAAAGAAGCTCCAGTGGTGCAGTGCCTAAGGCACCTGGCTGGTAACCAAACCCACCAGATGCTCTGAGAAAGGAAGATGGGGCAATCTACTTCCAAGATTTACAGCCTTGGAAATCCAATGGGGAGTCACTATGAATTGGAACTGACTCAATGGCAGTGAGTTGATTCATAAAACAAGGATAACACACTTACCCATAGGATGTCCAAAACTATATATATGGGTATGTACACACACACACACAGATACATATATACATTCTCTCTCTCTCTTTCTCTCTGTCAAGGCACCCAAAGAACCACAGCTTTCCATAAAAACTTTACACCTGTAAAGCAGCATTATAGCTACCATTTCTATCACTATGTGACAAAGTGCTAGTTTAAAACCCTCCGCACCAGTTAACTCCAAAACTCATCAGCTGCATTTCACCTGATGGACAGGAAAGCGGCCCACAGCCAAGGCAAGGAGAACAAAGTGAGACTGAAGTTAGCCACAGAAGTATGCAACAGAAATCAGTAAGAGTAAATGCAGAAAAGCTGGTCCCTTAAGTTTGTATTTTAGAAAGATCACTCTGGTTACTGCACTAAGAATGGAACTGGAGGTGAGAGGGGCCAACAAAGAGCAAGCAAACAGAGGGAAAGGAAGGAGGAGCTGGGTTTAAGGAACATTCAAAATATATAAACAAACCAAAGGAAGGATTTAGCATAAAGGATGAAAGAATGAAGGAGAAAGCCCAGATTTCTAGCTTATACAAGTAGGTGGGCAGTGGTGCCCCTTACTGAGACACAAAACACCAAGAGGGCGGGTGGATTCTGTTTTGGAGAGGCTACGTTTCAATTGCCTGCGAGACTGTCATGTGGAAATGAGCACTGTGTAAGTAGAAATACACATCTGAAGGAAAGACAGTCACCTGGAGAAGCCACAGACACACAGTGGCGATCCCAGGTGATGAACATCTCCCTTATGAATAACTACTTGCCCTTTGAACAGGCTCTATCATAGCTGACTAAGCTAAACAGACTGTGATTCGTCACAGCGCCCAGACTGGGAAAAGATACAGGCTGAAGCCCTGGAATGAAGACTGAGAAGTGTGGAGAGCCCTTTCCAGGAGTCTGGCGCTGGGGACTAGTTCAGCAGGACTATGGAGAGCCACACAAAGCAGCACAGCCATCCACCACCTCTGAGCAAGGCACGGCAATCTCTGAGGCCCTGCTTCATCACAATTGCCTTCACCTGCTGCACGTGCAGCTTTGAAATCACTGAAAAGGCCTCAAGCCCTTTCTTACACTGAAGTCAGCCTAATTAAGAACCGTAGGCACCTGTTTCAACTGACCTACAAATTCTTAAGAGACACAGGAACTTACCTTGTTTGTATACAACTCGAGAATAATAAAGTGTGAAAAGATGGGGAGGCCTAGAATCAAGACAACGGCTCTCCCCTGTGCAGTCACGTTCCACGGTCAGCAGATGTTTAAGAGTGTATTTTCTATTTGGTTATTTATCTTTAAGAGGAGGCTGGTCCAGGATAGAACCTACAAAGCACTTAAGGGACGGGCACAGGAAAAGGAGCTGCGAAGCAGCAAGCAAGAAGGCAGAAGGAAAACAAAGACCGTCACCATCACATGAGGAGAGCAGGCGGGGGGAGGGGGTTATCCGATTTGTTTGGTGTGCGGGACACCAAAGGCAAGCTTTTAACATAAAAGCCGCTGCACACAGGCATTCAAAGTATTTGTTTACCTAGAATGCAACAGCAAACAGCAGTCCAATCTCTATTATAATTACTTATCCATTACAATTTCACTTTCTACATGAAACACATCAAGCAGATCTATGAAGCAGCCAATCTGTTTTTCAGAATTCTACCTGGCTTGCCAAACGGCCTCCAAGGACCAGGTCTGGAGTCATCGCCCCGCCTGGGAATCCGATCCTCCTCAGTGCGTCTCGAGAGCCGATCGTCATCCATGTTTCGCCAGGGCCCCCGATCATCATCTGCACCACGCCTGGAAATTCTATCATCATCGGGATTCCTCCAAGGTCCTCGATCATCATCCAACCCACGCCGGGGAGCCCGGTCCTCATCCATGCCCCGCCGGGGAGCCCGGTCCTCATCCATGCCCCGCCTAGGAGGCCGGTCCTCATCCAACCCACGCCTGGGAGCCCGGTCCTCATCCATGCCCCGCCTAGGAGGCCGGTCCTCATCCATGCCCCGCCGGGAAGCCCGGTCCTCATCCATGGCCCGCCGAGGAGCCCGGTCCTCATCCATGGCCCGCCGGGGAGCCCGGTCCTCATCCATGGCCCGCCGGGGAGCCCGGTCCTCATCAGTGCTGCGCCAGGATGATCGCTCATCATCAGCACCTCCTCGTCGTGGCCCCCGGTCCTCATCCATCCGTCTTGGTCCTCTGTCCTCGTCAGCCGTTCGCCAGGTTCCTCGGTCCTCATCCAGTCCTCGTCTGGGTGGTCGGTCCTCATCAGCGTGACGCCAGCTTGCCCGGTCTTCATCACCAATTCGCCTGTGAGGCCTGTCGTCATCTGCATTGCGCCAGGAAGGCCGGTCGTCATCTGCCCCACGGCGGGAGAACCTGTCTTCATCGGGAACACGCCTAAGGCCTCTCTCTTCATCCAAACCTCGTCGGGGAAGCCGATCGTCCTCTGGTCGGACAGAAGACTCTCTATCTTCATCGTCCCCCAAGCGTCTTGGTCGATCTTCATCTCTTCTAAGAGGCCTTTCCTCATCCCGCCCTTCACGTCTCCACTCCCTGTAGACCGGAGTCACACATTTTTAAAAGTAAATAATAAGAAATATGATCCTTTCAGGAATTATTTTTTTATTTAACTCATTTTTTTAAAAATTATTTCACATCTGGCTAGTATTTCAAGATCACTAAGTCCATCCAATGTGGAAAGACAATAAAAGGTACACAGACCAGTTTTCCACATGCAAAAACAATGAAGCTGGACCCACATATAAAAATTAACTCAAAATGGGGCAAAGACTTACATATAAGAAGTAAAACCAGGAAAATCTTACAATGATCCCATTTAAATAAATAAAATATCTAGGATAAAATATTAACAGGTCCTATGATAAATCACGGAGCTCTGGTAGCATAGTGCCTAAGGTACTTGACTGCTAACCAGAAGGCTGGCGGTTCAAACCCACCAGCCACTCCTCGGGAGTAAGGTTGGGCAATCCAGTTCCGCAGTGATACTGCCTCAGCAACCCAAGGAGGGGACACTATGAGTCAGGGCCAACTCAACAGCACATAACAACATAACAACATGATAAATCGACATTATTTTCCTCGACTCCACTTACTTTTCTGGTGGGCCTCTTCTCCATTCAGATTCTACTTCAGGTCCTTTCCTCCATGTGCTTTCTGATTCTCCCCAACGAGAATCCTACATTGACCAAAGTTAACAAGAAGCAATGCATTGGCAACACTTTCCTAACACAATGACTGGTATACCAAGCAAACATTTTTGTACTCAACATTAAATGATCTCAAGACCTTAAATAAATAAAAGTTTTAGAATTTTATTTCTTTTTAACCTGAAGAACAGATTGACAGTAAAGTGAAGCTGGTATCTTAAGGTCCACAAATTTTCTTTGACTTAGAAATTCCCTTCACAGACTGCAAAAAAACCCCAAGTGTCCCAAAATGCCCAACACAATGCCTACTAAGCAAAAAAGGAGGAATAAGAAGTATCCAAGAGGAAATGAGTAATTGTATTTCCCTCTTCAAAATATCAGACTGCCATTAAAATTTATGGAATGGGTATGGGGAAGTACTCAATACCCCAGGTACAACCTTCGCAGAGGGGAATGCACACGCTTTTAACACATCCACCCGAGGACACAACTTTCAGTGATGCTCAAAGGTAAACTAAGGGTAAATAATTAAGAACACTGATTGTGAACTATTAACTGTGAGAGAAAAACAAAAATTCATGAGACATACACAAGGACATTTTTCTTTAAATGGTATTTAAAAAATTCATCTGAAAAGAGAGGTATGTGATACAGCATTAAAAAAATCAGACAATTTTTTTCTCATATGGCTGTAAACTTAAAACCAAAAACAAACCAAACTCACTGCCACTGAGTTGATTCTGACTCACAGCAACCCCCAATGGATTTCCAAAGCTGTAAAGTCTTTACAGAAATAGATTACCTCATCTCCCTCCCGCAGAGCAGCTGGTAGGTTTGAACCACTGACCTTGTGGTTAACAGCCAAATACTTTACCCACTGTGCCACCAGAGCTCCTTATATAAAACTTAAAGCAACTGTTAAATGACTCCAGAGAAGAGGACACCATTAGTTCATAACATGGAGGCAAAAACAGCCAGGTGATTGCAATAAAACTAAGAACTAGAGGCAAGCTTAAAATTGTGCTTTATTCTGAAGAGGAAAGGAAGAGTTCTCAATTTATAGAAAAAGTTCAGGTAGACTTTGGGGGAAAATTAATAATCAGTTTAAAAAAAAAAAAAAAAAACCCAGAGAATATGAAAGCGTACTGAGAAAAGTTTACAAATTTAGCTAAAGACAAGAAGGGTGGCAGGACATGAAAACAAGTAAGTTCCAAACCAAATGTGAAGAGTAAGACCAAATCTAGTTACCATGCTCAACATGAACAGATCAGGGAGACTAGTTAGGTGAGCCATAAGCAACACAGGCAAAAGAAAAAGATCCGAATCAGTAGCTGGGGGGACACAGAATAAAGGGCAGGGTACCTTCCCAACTCAACAAGGAAGTGGGTAACAGTGCCACCCACCAGGAGAGGGAACTCAAGAGATGAAGACAGGGAAAGACAGTTCAGTGTTGGACATGAGCATGTATTAGGAATAATCAGATAATTTCAACAACAAAGTACTTAGAGCTGTGTTTGTATCACCCAGGAACGCAAATGATGAATCTTCTTTAGGGTTGGGCTGGAGACTCAGCATTTCTACAAAACCATCACACTACTTGGTCCACCAACTGCAACTCTGAGTACCAAGGACTCAGAGGACACTCCACAGCCGCCTGGGAACTCACAGCAGCTTCCTGCAGGCAGCACAACACAGCACAGAGCCCCATCCACACACACTAAGGCGCTTTTGACAAACAGTTTCAAGAGGTTCATTCTCACTGACAAATCATCTAAGCTAAAGCCTGCAAAGCCTCATCTCTGCCAGATGGGGTCTAGTGCTTTTCACCTTAGGAACCCTCATCCTTGAAACTTTAAAACTGTCCCACACGAGACAACCAGCTGCTACACTCACAACCCACAAAGTCACTGCAATGGTTTTACCCTCACCTTTCTAGAAAGCGGATCCTCGCCCAGTCTCCTCTCCTCTTCCCTACGGCGTTCTCGCTCTTCAATTTCCAACTCTCTCTGGCGTTTCTTCCGCTCTACTTCTTCTAATTTCTTGACGTGCTCCTGATATTCTCGCAGCTCTTCCTCACGTTTTGCTCGCTCAGCTCGCTCTCGTTCTTCGCGCTCTGAAAAATTTATCAGGTTGTAACGTGTGCCCAGCACCCACATCTTTCCCCTAGTGCTCACCTACTTTGCTGGTACCAAACAGCCAGCTCTGTAGAAGGAAGTTCTTTTTAAAAAATTTAAAAGTGCGAAATGGCAAAAAATATTCGATGTGACAAATACACCACTCAACACAAATTAACGTTAATTCATACAATGATAATAAAAAGCCAGTCTTCACTCTTAAAGAACACTTAAAAGTGGAAACAAGCTGGAGGACGTAACAAACAAGACAACTCAGTTAGGTTCCCACGTTCTGAGAGGCAGGTAGGAGCAGTGAGGCACGCCCCCCCGAGCCCCGTACTTTCTAACCAGAGCCAGCGCTGAGCCGGGTCTGACACGGCTCCACCTCCCTACCCCCAGCTGTCCACAGGTACCTTTGAGCATCTGCGCCTCCGCCCTCCTCTGCTCCTCCTCCTCTCTCTGTCTGTAGTAAGTGACTCTGCGTTCCTCTTTACGCTGCCTTTTACGTTCTTCCAAGCGACTTCGTCTTTCTTCTGCTAATCGCTCTTCAAACTGTTTAAGTTTTTCCTGCAATTGAATGATAAGCCCCAAAAAGCATTTTTTCCAGAGCTAGAAACCAGAAGTAACCTTTCAACTGACAAGAGTCATGTTTCTTGAGACTCTCAGAAAACCACCTTCAAGTATAAAAAACAAAATTTCTAAATGACTGTTGAAGTTTTTCTAGAATCCAAATATTTCTTTTTAAATTGCTGACAATACTATCTATAGCCAATGGGTTCATTCTTATACAAAATGTATACATTTTATACAAAATAACTGTGGTAGTTAAGTTTGTGTATCAACTTGGCTGGGCCTGGTTGAGTGGCTGGGCAGCTGGATGTAGTTATTCCCCATGGTGATACTGATAATTAATTCCACGGTGGAATCTATTGGAGCAGCTAAGTAGCTGTTTCAGGGGTGTGGTCTGCTTCCAGTACATAAGAAACAGCCTTGGGAATGGTCTCTAGCTTATGGCACACTTGAACCCTACATGTACCAAGTCATTGTTCAGCATCCTACCATGCTCTGCTGACCTTGGGACTTTGAATGCACTTGAATTAATGGCCTGCCATGTGGTCTGGTAATATCAGAACTATGCCTTGTTACTTGTTGACTTTGGGTTTGTCAGCCTCAGCAGCCAGCAGCTCAGTGAAGAAAAGCCTCAGCTTCAGTGGGCTAGGAGCAGGAGGCAGAGTTGATGCCCAAGGTTGAGGGGCTTTCACCCAGCCCCTAGAGCCTGGCACTTTGAACTCAGACTTAAAGCATCCAAACTCTAAGAATAAACTCGTTTGTTAAAGCCATTCCATTTGTAATATATATTCCTGTCAGAGCAGCACTAGGTGTCTTTCTGAATCAAATAGCAAATTTGTTTTCAGGAACAGACTTTCTGCAGTCCACCTTCACCTTCAGAAAAACACTTGAGATGGTTGACTATTTAGCCTTTAAAATATTGTTACGAAAATTTCTATTAAAATATTATTTGAATGACCATTATAAACGTTAACTCAGAATGTATCAATGTGTTAAATTAAATCTTTAAGGCAAACTATATAAAATTTCCCTGAAGCCAGTATGTTCACCTCATAAACGGATTGCCGGGCATCCTTGAGTCGCATTACAAATAAATCTCTGTCTTCAAGCATCCGTGACATTCGGTTCTTATGTTCAAGAGCTTTTTCACGTTCTAGCTGCATGGTTGTTATCTACAAAAACATAATACATTCATCGTGCGATTGCCGATTGAACCTGAACAAAGTACTGTTAAGTACTGAAAGTTAGAAGCAGCTCCTTAGCCCCTTCCATCTTGCCATCAAATGAAAAGGAAACTATGTGCCAACAGGTCCCCAGAAGATAATCAAGGACAAAGAGCAGATAAAGGAGTTTTAGGGCAAGGCGGCACAGAGTTTTTATTTGGCCCCCCAGCACCAGAAATTACAAAGAAAAAACTGTAACACATATGGTAAAACTAAATACTGCATGGTTTGCTGTTGTTAGTTACCAGAGTTGATGTGAACTCATAGCAACCCCACGTATTACAATGTAAGACCTGCTCCACTGGGTTTTCTTGGCTGTAATCTCAATGAATAGATCACCAGGCCATTTCTTCTGTAGCACCACTGGGTGGTTTCCAGCTACCAACCTTGAGGCTCACAGTCAAGCACAACCCATTTGTGCCATCCGTGGGACTTCCCCACATGGCAATCATGTGGTCTAATGAAATCCATTTCTTCTTTCTTAAAAACTACCAGAGGCCGAGACAGGCTTCGCAGTACCCAGGTGAAAACACCGAGACCTGTGGGCAGGGACTGCAGATCACCCCAGATGCTATCCACATGCTGTAACTGATCAGCAGCCCTTTGCTCTAATCATCTTCAATCCAAGAGAGCCATCACGAAACACTCAACTTTTTTAGAATGAGGGAACAGGTGACACTTCCTGTTCGATTCCTCAAATGACAACCATCAGGGTAACCACACAGAGGCAGCACACTCTCCACGCCACATCCCCACAGACTGGTGCCACATCCTGTGCGTGGCTGCCTTTACTTTTTTAAAACAAGATCCACTCACTCGTTTTTCTTACATAGTTGGCACGCAGGCATTTGCAAATGCTGCTTTTATTATCACCAGGTAAACGTAATACAGAAAAGCAAAACTACAAAATGAGCTATATGGTCAAAAAAAGGCCACATCCCACAGGATTCCTTCAATGGAAGGTCCAGAACTGGTTAAGTTGAGGGATCGTAAACAGCGATAAACCGCCAATGCTGAGAGGAGGAAGGTGGGAAGAGGGAAGAGACTGTTAACTGATATGAAGTTTCTTTTGGGGTGAAAATAATGTTCTAAACTTCGCCTGGGGTGAGAGCTGCACAACATTGTGAATATTCTAAAAGTCATGAATTTACACTGTAAGTGGGTGAGCTGTATATGGTGTGAGTATCTCAATAAACTGCTTTAAAATGAGCTATCTGGCCGTCACTGCTTACTCCCTATATGAGAATGTGCCCCTTCCACCAAGCCATTAGCTCGCAGTCGCTACCTCTAGCAGAAGGCCACAAAGTTACGTTTTGAAAACCCAAGTCCCATTCCTAGCAGAAAAATCTACTATTACATACAATCTAGAAAAGCCACAATTAACTAAACCACTTACTCTTTCTTCTTCCTGTTGCTCCCACAGGTCCATGTCTTTAATCCTCTGTTCCTCATAAGCACTCTTTATCAAAGGAATCTCTTCCAACCGTTTAGCTCTTTCAAAATAGTCAATCTGAGTGGTATGAAAACAAACGCCATCTTTTAAAAACACTTTAAATTTGGCACACTGTAAGCTCACCAGTCTTCAGAAGATAAATAGGCAAACTACAGGCTGGGAGAAAGTATTTGTAAAACACTTACCTGACAAAGGACCTTTATCTAAGATACAGTGAGAACTCTTAAAACTCAACAATTACAAACAATACAATTAAAAATGGGTAAACACCAATGATACACAGATGGCATATAAGCATATGAAAATATGTCACTGTGGAACTCAAATAAAACAATGCGCTACCACCACACACTTATTTATGGGTAAAACCCCAGACACCGACAAAACCCAATGCCGGCGAGAATGTGGAAGAACAGAAGCGCTCATTTCACTGCAGGTGAAAATGTGGAAATGGTACAGTCACTGGGAAGAGCCTGCAGGTCCTTACAAAGCGCACCACACAAGCTGACTGTCCATGATCCAGCAGTCATAGTAGATATTACCCAAATGAGCTGAAAACTATGCCCACACATAAACCTGCCTGTGAATGTTTATATTTACAGCAGCTTTATTCATAACCGCCAAAAATGGAAAGCTACCCAGACGACCTTCAACAGATGAATATGTACACGGTGGTATTTCCATACAATAGAGTATTATTCAGAAATACAAGAAATGGACTATTAAGCTACAGAAAGACAGAAGAACCTTAAATACATATTGCAAAGTAAAAGAAGCTAGTCTGAAAAAGCTACGTGCTATGATTTCAACTATATGACATTCTGGAAAAGAAAATCAAAACTACAGAGACAATAAAAAGATCAGCAGCTGCAGGTGTTCAAAGGAGGGGAGGGATAAATAGTGAAGCATAGGACATTGTCAGGACTGTGAAACTATTCTGCATGGTAGTGTGATGGTGGGTACAGGACATTATGACTGCAGAAGAGTGAACTGTAATGTAAACTAAGGACTTCAGTTCATAGTAACAATGCATCGATACTGGTTCGTCAACTGTAACAAATGTTCTACACTCAAGAAACAACAGAACAGGTATGTGGGAGCCTTGTACTTTCTGTGCCATTTTTCTGTAAACCTAAAACTGCTAACAATTAAAGTGTATTACCTTTATTCTTATAGTTCACTAGCCCATTTACCTTCTTTTCTTGATTCTTTAGACGTTCCTGAAGTTCTTTCTTTTCTTTCTCCAATTGTTCAACCTGTTTAGCCATAATGAAATCTGGATCCAATTCTTCAAGATCCTGGGATAAAAAATGGCACAGACCTTAATGAGCATATAAGAAAAACGCGTAAAAGACAACAATAGCTGCTTCAAGAATCAAATCTAAAATCATTGTTTAAAAATGAGTTATTTCAGACATGTGGAGGAAAAATATGTAATCTTAACATCTATTTCTCACTCCTCCAATCTGGAAAACATAGTATCTACCTAAACTCAATTGCCATAAAGAATATAGTGATTAAAAAGTACAAAGAATATAGTGATTAAAAAGAACACAGAGCAATTGAAAACAAATGCTTCCTCAAAGAGTTAATGAACCAGCTAGCTGTCCATGGCTAAAATAATCAAACAGTCCACAATACATCAGTACATGGTACAGAAGTATAGTTCTAAGATAACTGAAGACACAGGTCAAACTAACAATTCAATGATTTACATGCTACATACTTCAATATCAATATCTTTGAATGCTTTGGCACCCAGTTCCGTTTTCTTGATCTGCTCCAAACGCTCTCGAACCGTTTTCTTTTTGATTTGTTCATGTTCCTGTAAAATACGCTCCTTCTCTCTCTCCTTGGCCTCCTGCCGCAGTCTCTCTTCTTCAGCTTTCCGTACTTTCTGCAGTTCAGCCTCCCTCTGCTCCAACTCTTCTTTCTCACGCTGAATATTCAGACTCTCAAGCCGTTCCTTCCTCTCCTCGATTGTCTGGCGGCGAGCCAGGATACGCTGATGTTCTTTTCGTGAATTTTTCAGGTATGCAGTAACAGCTAACTGATGCTGTTCTTCTTTCTCTTGCTTTAAAAACACAGTAACAAAAATGCATCGAAAGTTACATAGCATTGTAATAAGCATCACAAAAGTTAACAAAATCATCTTAATGCAAAAATGAGCATTGCCTTCACGTGTGTTTGCATTTGATACTGGAAGACGACATAAGTCAACTATTTAGTTCCTACTACCAAATACTTGTAAGTCAATCTTTTAACAGCAATGAAGCTAAAGAATCTTTATTTGGTAAGTCAACTTTTCTCTACCCCCAATCTACCTTAAAGTGTTCAAGCCAAGTAGGACTAGAGCCCACAAAGAAGAAATTAATTTTAGCACAAAAATGGGCTCTTGCATCTTAATTCAGTTATTCTGGGGGGTCATGACACATGCAGTTTTATACAACACTGTCCATGATTTTATTACATCATCTGTGATTTAGTTCATGGAAGACAGCTCAACACTGTATCTCTGATAAAGAAATTTGATAAAATAACAAAACTACCAAGCACAACTGAGCAGGAAATGTATAAACACCTTCTCTCACACAGCACTTCAAACCTACTTTGTGAAAAGACATGACCCAGGAAAGTCCCACAAAAACTCCCCTAGTTCATTTACTCCCTACATACATACCAATATATGGGCTGGCTTAATGACTTCCAGTGCTTTTGCAAGTACAGAGGACATGGCTGTCAGCTGATTCCTTATCTGCTCTGAAGGCATGCTTTGCAAATGAGGACCAAGGGGAGCATCTTCTCGAGTCGCATAATTCAAATCAGATCCAAAACTAAGGGTTCGAGAAGTGTGGTCAATACGAACCTTTGAAAGTAAATGAAATTATCATCAGTAGATAAACCCATAGGCAAATAGGAAGTCATTCCACAAAATAACTTTTGTTTAAGAAAAAAGCTGACCAATCTTCTACAAGATCCACTCAGCAAAGGTTAAAACAGTGCCACTGTACCTAAAGCTAGAAGCAAAGTATACTTGAGTCCTCAAAAGCCTCCCACCTCAGTGTCCCTCATAGCACATACCTGCAGGTCACAGTGCCTGGCTGCATCTACTATGGCACGTTCCAGTTGGAAAGCATCAACAAAAGGAACCAGAGAAGTCAAACGAGAAAACTCAATGCTCTGATAAATTTGTGCCACCTGCATAAAAAACACAAGGTGAACAGTAATAGTAGCTGCCACTTCAGCACTTTCTGTGTGCAGCTTCAGGACAACCCTGAGAAGCAGAAATTACACTCATTTTTCAAGGGAAAAAGCAGTTCAGAGAATTTGTTACCAGTGTATTGTTGGAACTGGAATTCTAATTCAAGGTACCAATTCAAATCTCTGCTTTGAAACATCACATTACGCTATTCCTCAATCATCTTTTCTCACCCTAGTTCAGTGAAGCAGAAAATCTCAATGATAAACATACACGTAGATAAAGACCTGATGCTTAACTGATTCGTCAGAGCACTTTTTATCACATTTATTTGTCTGAAGGAGACTTGCAGCCTTAGTACTCAGTTACACTGCTATTTAACCTTCAACTACTCGTATAGCACATAAACAGTAACACTGCTCACATACAGAAAGGAAAGGAGGTCAATGAAATGTGCACGAATTCAACACAGAAACAAACCCAAACCAAAACCTACTGCCATCAAGCCAACCCCATCTCGCAGCAACACTATCAGACAGAGCAGAGCTGCCCCACAGGGTTTCTGAGTCTTTTCAGAAGCAGACTGCCACATCCTGCTCCCACAGAGTGGCTGGTGGATTCGAACTGCCAACCTTTCGGTTAGCAGCTGAGCACTTCAACCACTGCATCACAGGGCCCTACACCCAAAAAAAAAGCCTCCAACTGGTGGAACCACTGAGACTATGGCCCCTAGGTGCCCTTTAGGTTTAGAACTGAACCCATACCTGTGATTTCCAGCCAAGCAAAAGACAGGCATAGCAGTTCAACATTTACCTGAGGCAGATACCTTGGAGAGAACAAAAATGGGAGAAAGAAGGCCTGTGTATGCACAGGGAGACAGCCCAGGGGTGCATGGAGGGATGGACATAGGGAAGAGAGGACCGGTGGGAGGAAGTGGGAAGTGGGAAGGGAGCTGTTGTATTGTGGTGAACTGTGGTCAATGTCATGAGACAAAGTGTATGTGAACTGCTCTATGGAAAGTGAATTTGCTCTGTAAATTTTCACCCAAATCACAATAATATAAATAAATAAATAAATAAATAAAAGAAAAAAGCCCTCAAAAATGAAACAAAGAGAAACCAAAAAGGAAACATTTAAGCCATACTATAAATCATAATATTCAAACTTAAAAGTTAGAATAAAACACATTAAAAGAGTGGTATCACCTGTTGTTAGTATTAGCAGAAGGCTCTCATTCACTACTGATGGGAGGGTCCAATAACTGACTCTTCAATGGCTATGTGTATTTAAATACTCTGGCTAACTGCACATCTCATGATATAAAATGTCACAGAAGCAAGCAAAGATCCATGTAGGGAAAATGGTCACTGCAATTTTTTATATAGCAAAAAAACACAGAAACACAGACGTCCGTCAGTAGGGTCTGAACAGACAAATCACAGTACATTGAGACAATGAAAACCATTTAGCTATTAGAAAGAAGAGGTAGACCTATATTACTAACAAGAGAAGACATACTAAGAAAGTGAAAAGCAGTTACAAGTTAGGTAAAATAATTGGTTTTCAAATCAAACATACATAAATAAGACTAGCTTTGGCTGGGGGTGGAATTTGGGCAGGCTTTCCTATTCTTTCAGTTTTTAGTTTTGTGATCCAAGCAAAGCAAGGGGGGTTCCAGCTCTGACATGAAACCGAGGGTGCACTTTTACCTGCTGCAGAAGGCGGAGTATGGTATTGCTCTGCAGTTGTGGGACATACTGCTGTAACTCGGGCTCCTTTTCAGGTTGCTCCCTAACCCAGTTCAGAACCTATAAAATCCATTAAATTCAAAGAGTTATATTTTCTGTAACAGACACTAGAACATCTGTGAAAGTTTTCCAAGTTTATATACGAAAGCATTGTGAAAGAAATAGACTGTCACATGACGCCGCTGACACTTGTCTGAAGGTGACTGACAGCAATGGCCACATTAGCCACACTGCTAATTTACCTCCAAAGGTTTATCTAGCACACAAGAAATATCCTCTTTCTTGACATGAAGAAAAAGGACAATGAAATGTGCATGGAATTTAAACACAGAGGACAATACTTTTAGCAAAGACAGACACAACCCGTAACTACAAGAGTGTCGGCTGACACTCAGCTAGTGACGTGGTTAACACACCCAAATGTGAATACAGGGCCTTACCTTTGTGACTCTCTCACAGAGTTTTAGTGGGTTAAATTCTACTTCCAGCCAATTGTAAAGATCCTTCACTTCTGGAACAACATACTGTAATACATTGAATCTGACCTACAATAAACAAAACAAAAGGCAGAATTATTGGGAAACATTTTCAAACTGGGATAATGACTTAAGTATAAATTAAAACTTAAGGTTGAAATCTGGAAAACAACTGAAAGATTGTCAAATCTCAAGCCTCTTTAAATTTACAAAAGAGAAATCCAAAGTACTGTGTTCAATCTCTTGCCCTAAATTACTCACCTACCTCTAGTGAAAAATCTCGCAAGAACTTAAAACTCTAACACAATAAAATACTTAAGACAACAACTGTAGCCTTTGTAAACTAATTAATTACCAATGACAAGTAAAACACCAGAAATTACAAGTGATTTTTTGTGTGTATTAAAACAAATAGCAGCATTACTTCTAATAGTCCCAAACTGGAAACTCCAAATGCTAATGAATGGGATTAATAGTGGTTCATTCATACAATATACAATGTCAAAGAACAGTTACATGAAACACAAGGGTAAATTTCACAAACACAATGGTAAGTAAACGAAATTCACATATTACACCATCTATAATCAGATCTGTTTTTGGGAGTTGAAACATTATCTATAAACTTACAGTTTTGATAACATCAGCAAATTGTGTACTATGACACTGTATGTACTACATATTAATAACAATAACATGCAATAATAATAATAATAAAAAGATGGTCTTAACTACTGTCTGTCGTCACTCAGAACACCGTTAAGTCAGGGACTACCACCCATATAGCAAGAACCTATTAGTTCTCACTTTAAATGACTGATTCTGCAAGCAAAGTAATGCCTCTCCTCGTGTTTTACCGGAGCGACTGAAGGTGCTGTCTCAGAGTCCATGCTCACACTACTCAAGGGAGCTGTACTTCCTATTATCACTTCCTATTATCTCTCAGGTTTCCCTAAGCGCTCTCTTCACAAATTAGGGAAGTGCTGTGTAAACTTCCTTTTTGTACCCATTCAGCCAGGGTGACTCTTTCTTAGTACTTTACTCTGGCACGTGCCCCTTTTACTCTCTCACTCTGGTTTAACTGGCTGGAGGTGATTACTGTAATAACCACTAAGTCAATGATTATGAATTGAAATCCCTGAATCTAAACTTCAAGGACTTGTTAGAATACAAATCCACATAAGCACTTGATAAATTTCTGAAAGAAAGATCCCAAAGACATGAAACACAATCAGATATATAAATGCAAGTTCCCACAAACTGATTCCATAGGTCTGGTGGGTGACACCCAGAAGTGTGCCTTTTCAGTACTCCACACACTACACTGCAAAGCCCCAATAAGAACCACTGCTTTAAGAACATAACTACAGAGAAAAAATTTACAAATATTTTAGCTGTCCAGACAAGACCTACACCCACCTCACTCTCTCCACACCTCATGAGCCATCATTTCCCAACCATTTCAGCTGGTTTAGTTTTTGTACAACCCAAAACTATGACACTTCTTGCCCACCATTACTTCTCTGAGTTACCTGTATTATTCATTCTCCAGGGCCAGTCTAAGACTCCTCCACTGAATCATCAAAGCCAAAACCAAACTAAACCCACTGCCATCAAGTCAATTCCAACTCATAGCAACCCCGTAGGACAAAGCAGAAGCATCCTATATAGGATTTCTAAGGCTGTAAATCTTTCCAGAAAACTGTTCCATCTTACTCCACAGAGCGGCTGGTGGATTCAAACCACTGACATTTTGGTTAGCAGTCAAATCCTTAACCATTGCACCACCAGAGCTCCATCATCAAAGTCCCCAATAACTCAGCCTCAACTTACCTACCGGAGAGAAACCGCCTTACTGGAACATGGCTAGTTTACACCAGTGGTTTCCAATACTGTGTATGCATCTGAATCCCTTGGCTACGAATCAGAATTCCTAGCCTTTAACCCAAAATTACTCAACCTGAGCATGAACGTTGTCTGTCCAAATCTATAAAAATGCTCAAACTGATACCAACCATATCATTAATCAGGCCGATTCGTGTTGGTGGGGCCTGAAGACCTAGAAGGGTTGCAAGGCGACGTTGTTTTTCAACTATAATGCCATCCATATCCAGAAGGCGAGCAATATCCGTGCGCTCAGGGGTGATAGGGATGGAGAGAGTGGCCAGAAGGACTCTAGTAGACATTCTGTGGAGAACAAGGTTACACGCGTTAAATCTGTAAATGTCACCTGACAGGCAGAAAAGCAACTCCCTTTACTCATGTGGTAAGAGATGTCATGTCAGTGACAGAATGGATACATCACCACGGTGAACTCTTTTTGTAAATATACCACCACAGCAAACACTGATTAGAAGGGAAATGGACCACACTAAAATGAATACATGGAAACCCACCGACTCATATGTTTCTAGCTATAGCATGAGACTGTTTACATGGGAGTAAAAGCGTATTTGTGTACTCCACACTTCCTTACAAAACGTAAGAAAAGCAAGTATTTGAGGCAGCTAAAAAAACTCAGGGGAAATGACAAGAAGGGAGGAAAATCACAAAGGTCCTAAGTCAACAATTATGGGAGTGGGTACTGTGGTATAGTAAATTACTTTGTGTGGCTTTTCTACCCATAAGTCTTTGTAAACTCCAAGGTGGGATTTGCTATGAGCAACTGAGAAGCTCCTGATTGCTGAAGGTGTCCACCTGGAGTATTTCTGTTGGGAGTGGCACAAAACAATGTTCTGGGAGGTGCCCACTCTCTCTCAGGTGCTTAGAGTTCTGATGCTATAATTGGCTAGTTTGACCACCCTGCGGGCTCTAAAGGAGACCTCCTGGAGGCAGAACTCTCTGACTGCTGGTTGAGGAAGACGTGCTGCCGAAAGAGACACGCACCCCTGAAAGAGACACGTGCTGCTGGGAAAGAGACACAAGAGACACACATGGCTGAGTGAGACACCGGGGAACCAGCACTGCTGGGAAAGAGACTGAGAGAGACTGTTGGCCGAGGGACGGTGGGCTGGGAGAGAGACTGAGTGTTCTTCCTGAACTTGAGTTGTAGCCTGGTGCTTCCCTAATAAACCCCATAATCTGTGAGTTTCTGTGTGGCCACTGCAGTGAATTATCGAACCCAGGAAAGAGGTGGTGGGTGCTTTGGGAGGAATGGTTGGAGCAAGGGCTGGAGGGAGGCAGCACGTCTGGCCTTGCAGTAATAGGCCTTGGTTTACTGCTGGTAATCCTGCCTTCCCCTCATAGGGTTAGAGGAGGTCAGAACATGTGGCCTCCTTGCCGTTTTTGCAGGTACAAAAAATAACTTTTAGCCTCCTTGAAACTGAAGAAGAAAAGTCACATTCAGAGGACTGGAAGACACTAAGTACATGGGTTCTGAAGCCTAGGAGTCAGGGGTTTGAAACTCAGCCTCACCATTTCCAAGACTGTGCCTGAATCAAGATAATTCATTTCTTAGGCTACTATGAATAAGTAAAGTAATACACACAGAGCTAAAAAGCTTAATGTTTCTTATAATATTCTCTGAAGGGAGAGCCTATCTGTACCTTAGAGCAGACCAACTAGACAAGAGTAATATATGGGACAGTGAAGGACATAATGGAGATGGTTCTCAAGAACCTCAAAGAAAATACACTAGCAGAACCCATTAGTTGATTCTGTGTACTGCTGTAAAGCTGTAAGCTGCCTAAGTACAACTGAAATATATAAAAACAGAAACACATGACTGAATCAAAATAGATTATAATGTCAAAAATAAAAGTCTTAACTTGTTAAGTGTATTATCAACACTGCTCTGTTTAAACACACAAACACACCCATCCAAATGTTCTAGTTAGTATTTTTTTTTATAACCACAAAAAGTGAGCAGATCAGAGTAAATAACTTTGGGGACAGAAAGCTTACACCGTAACAGGACCTTTCCTAAAATACAATTAATTTCATTTTCTCAATTGGGCTTTCAGTAGTATTGGTCATCGGTCAAAGACAGCTACTGAAAGCAGAGTGCTACCCAAAAAAAGCAACGTTTGGAGACATTTTTGGCTGTCACAACTAGGGGATGCTACTGGCATCTATGGGTACAAGCCAGGGATGCTGTGAAACATCCACAGCGCACAGGACAGCCTTCTCGTCACACCATCCCACTCAAAGTGTCCATGGTGCTAAATTCAAGACACCCTGACCCAGGACATACCACCATGTCATTTGGCGAAAGCTATATGGTAAGTTTACCTCTATCCAACTGTAACATTCTTACCTCTGCATCTCTTCCTGTGTAAGATTCTTTCTCATTTCTCTGGATAGGTGATAAAGCCGGTGGAGTGTGGATGCATGAAAGAGAGCATTTCCAGATTTCCAAAACACAGTTGAGACTTTGTTATAGTAATTTGCCATCAACTGGGGTTTAGGTGGTTTTTTAGACAAGGAGAACAGTCCATGAATATCTTCCACAGCTTTGAATGCTTCCTGAAATCAGCATAAATTACAGTCAGTGTCTTCTAAGCAAATAAAAGAATCTAATTCAAATCTCTGTATGAAGCCTAAATAGGAAAATTAAGAAAATTTACAATAAAATGTTTTCTCGTGCAGTTCTTCTTATTCATCTACAGGTATTACCTGATGCATCTCAGAAACTGCCATTATTATAAAAACACTAAGGTTTCAAACTTCTGACTTTTTTAGGGAAATTATAATATAGATGAACATATTTTAAAAGTGCGTATAATTACAGCACTTGGGGAAAATACACACAATAAAAATCTGGGTGGATGTACAACAGAATTTATACTGGTTACTTCTAATGAGGGAGTGAATAACAATTTTCTTCTTACTCATCCATTTTTTTCTATAATGAGCACATTTACTTTTCTTCTACAGTTTTTTTCCTCTTTTAGTTCACCATGTAGTATTTTACGATTGGTGTCCCTGCACAAAAGGAAAATATTATGGGAACGATGGGAAAATGAAATCACGTTTTCACTTGCCTTAAGACTATCAATTTTCAGTTTCATCTGCAATTTTAGTTTTTTTTTTATCCAGTATGTAAAAGCTTTAGGTTTTATGACTACTGAATCACAAGAATCCCTTCTTGTGGGATTCTTAGGAAAACAACCAAGTAGAGGACAAGAATCCCAGAAGCAAGGTGGAGCACTCGCCATACACACACACCATGCCAAGCAAGGCTGAGACAGCCAGGTTGCCTAGTGCAGCACTTCTCAAACTACGTATAGTAAAGGGCAAATTTTGTTTTTGTTTCTAATTTCCAACATATAGCCAACCAATCCTTAAACAGAAAAAAATTGGAGACAAGCTCAACCGGTTATAAGAGCAAACGGACATAAAATCCCTAGAAAACTTACTAAGTGGTTACTCACATCTGTACGTATTTCATCATGAACTAGCAACCAATAGTCTCCAGGCTGGCACCAGTCCACGGATGACACCTGTGGCCATCCTGTCGATGTATGGATTTAGACAGGAAGAAACTAGGTCCATAAGAGGTTCCATTAGTTAGCCTAGAGCTCACATTAGGGAACCAGAACTACAGCAGTCTGTGATTTCCTGACCAGAACTCTTCTTATTCCCATCAAACAACTTAAAATTCCTCACTTCTCTATTGGAAGTAATCAACACATACCAAGATGAAGATACTCATAAGAGAACAACAATAACACAGATGCTAGTACTAGACAGAAAAGATAACAGCTCACAACGTACCTGCCACAATTCCATGCTTATAGCACTGTCCAACTGAACGAGCCTGGTTTCCAAATGCATGGACTGACTCTCTGGATTATTAAGGTTGATGGCCGTACTTTGGTTATGGTGGCGTTGAATCTGTGACAAGTGCATTCTCAAATTGTCACACAGCTTGCGGAACTCAGCCTTACGAGTGTACTGGAGGCAGAACTTGAAAGCTGTAAGCATAATTGTAAAGCGTATCAGGTCCTTCCCATATCATGAATTTACATATTTGAAAGATTTTCTGTATTAAGATGAGTTATTTTAACAAGATTCACCAAACTCAACACAAGCCTTCAGAGGTGGTCAGAGCCACTCGCTTCACGTGCCCTATCTTTTGGACTGAACCCTGACAAAACAAAGAAAGACAAAGTAGTCTTGGGTGCTGACCTAGTACTAAAACCTGGTTCTTGGAAAATTTACAAATGAGAAACTATTAGAATTTAGGTATAGGAAAGACTCATCTTTCAAGACCTTACATTTCAAATCCTGAAAGAGTAAAAAACTCTAGTCTCAAAATACAATGACATTTTGTACCTAGGTTTCAAACCAGCTCGAACCAGTTCAGTCACGGCCAATGAAGAGAAAACAGAACCCTCCTAATTTCTGAAATTTCAGGTGTAGCTTAACTACAATCAGAACAGGAAAAATGACAGGTCTAAGGCCTGAAATGGAAGACCTGGAAAAGGCATGTGAGCCCTTTTAGGAGGCTGACTGATGTAGGAGATTGGGTTATTGTCAGGACTGTGGAGAGGGACATGTCTGAAGTGGCATGGACGGTCACCATCTTTGAGCAGTACACTGCTGTTCCCGACTGCGCCATTCGAGAGATCTGGCTGCTACACAACACACACACTGCCCTTGTTTTCTAAGAGGAAGATTCTGTTTCTAACAAGGCATTAACCTGTAATTTTTCCCATTTGGTTACTGTTCCAGTACACCTGCATTTGCAAATTTGGGTCTATTTCAGTCTTCCTTCATTAGCCATGACTGAATTGGGAAGAACCAGTTCAAATCCCAGCTCTGTACTAACTAAAACTCTGTAACACAAATTGAGAGCTTATGGTGACCTAATTTCAATCATGTGCATAGATGTGTATATAAACTACTTGCTCAGTCATTAAAATTCACTGTAATTTTCTAGAGCTGTCAAATGTGTCATACTAGCTTTTTTCCTTTGTTCCTCTCTTTTAAAAGAGGTACTTTCATATTGACAGGCTTAAAACAAAAGAATGCTGTTTAACTTCAAGTTAATATACATATAGTTATCAAAAAACCCAAGTTTAACTGTTAAGTGAAAAATTCACATACTGGCCATGCAAGCAAAACAGAACACAGATTCTAATATTCCTAGTAAGACAGTCTTAGTTACTAACAGTCATTTAAAACTGTAATGAATAATGGCAATCATGTCTCTATTAGAGAAGGCTGGCCCCACAAGCCTATGCTAGGCCACAGGAGGAAAAAGCAGAGCACCACCCTCAAATAGTGACCTAGTCACACACAAGTTAAAAAGCTGCACTGACAACAGCAGAGTATCAAGTAACAGCAAAGGAAAGAGATAGTTAGAAAAACAGATTTTCAATGCAGCCCTTCACAGATCCCAAGTGCTGAACTCAGTAACCTAACTGGGTATTTATGAGACACAAAGGGTTAGATCTATATTCAGTAATACTGCTGAAGAAACAGAAAATACACACTTTTCACAGAATCTTGTCAGAGACCTTAGAGACAGAGAGTGCGCAGGAAGTAGCATGCCTAAGAATATGCAGTAGAGTTAAAACTAGAACTGACGTTCACCAAAGAGGACCAGAAGGTAAAGTTTCACTTTACACTCACCTGGAAATTCTGAAGAATTTAAAAAGGCCCTTCAAACATTACTGGAATAAATTGTACATGAAACCATCTTAAACCACTTCTTATTCAGTCATTTATGATGATATTTATAAAGACCAAACCCATTGAAGGGCAATGTACCAAATGTGAGTGATCAACATGGTGGCACCAAGGAAGAGGAAGACAGAGAGAGGTATATGGGAGGTACAGACAACAAAAATGAACCCTTTTGCACATACAGTACTGCGTTGTCAGTGAAGGCAAACGTGAGTATATGGGTGGATAGATGGGTGGACAGGCTGAACTATTAGGTATGTCTATGAAGTGGAGAGTGTGTCCAAGAACATGTGTAGGGTTGGCAGACAACGGTCCTATAAGTTTATTTGAATGATCAGAATTCCCAGGTGTATAGTAAAGCTGACAAGGGGCAAGGCTGTGGTCACTGCTTGGTCACAGCCAGCTACCCAGAAAGATTGAGCAGTTGAACCTGTGAGCTTTGGACCATAGTCACAGGGGACACCAAGCTCAATTGGCATAACATACTATACAAAACATTGTTGCATCTCCTACTTTGGTGAGTAGCGACTGGGATCTTAAAAGCTAGCAAGCTGCCATCTAGATGCAACGATGGGTCTCTCCTTGTCCAGGGCAAAGAAGAATGAAGAAAACCAAAATTCATGGAAATAATTAGTCCCATCCGATCTGCAGCCTATATGACTATGAGACCAGAAGAACTAGATGGTGCCCGGCTACCACTGTCATCTACTTGGACGGGGATCTATGTAGGAGATCCTTGATAGAGAGGTAGAACAATGTGGAACAAACTCAAAATCATTTGGAGAAAAAAGGGGGACCAGGTTTGCTGGTCTGATAGAGCCTGGTGGAACCACTGAGACTATGGCCCCTAGCTGCCCTTCAGGTCTGGAATTGAACCCACACCTGTGGCTTCCAGCCAAACAAAAGATAGGCATAAGAGTTGAGCATTTACCCGAGGGAGATACACTCCTTGGAGAGAACAATCATGGGAGAAAGAAGGACTGTTTATGCACAGGGAGACAGCTCAGGGGGCTAGACTGCATGGAGGGATGGACACAGAGAAGAGGTAACTATCCGGAGGAAGTGGGAGAGGAGCTGTTGCACTGGGGTGAACTGTAGTCAATGTCATGAGACAAAGTATGTGTGAACTGCTGTATGGAAAGTGAATTTGCTCTGTAAATTTTCACCCAAATCACAATAATTAATTAATTGATTGATTGATTAATTAACTGATTAATGAAGAAAGGTTGTATATTCACAGGGAGACAGCTGGGGGGGGCAGGAGTGCATGGGACAGGAGGACATAGGGAAGAATTAACTATGGGGAAAAAGAGGGAGGGGAGCTGTCGCATCGTTGGAAACTGTAGACAATGTCATGAGACGAAGTGTATGTGAGCCACAGTGTGGAAAGTGAATTTGCTCTGTAAATTTTCACCCAAATCATAATTTTAAAAAAAAAAAAAACACTATCCATATGGGATCAAATTGACAACAGCAACTCAAAAGATTAGATAGGACACTTAGGGGGGACTGAAATATGCATATATCATGTTAATGGGAACAGAACTCAGAAAAGGAGGTGAGAATGGTCACACAACTCAAAGACTGTAATCCGTTTCACTGAATGATACATGTTTCAACAGTGGAAACTGTTGAACTGGTGTATTTTCTGTTATGCACATTCTCAGAACAAAAATAATTTGAAAAAAAGAAGAAAAAAAAAAAAACCAAACCCACTGCCATCAAGTCAATTCCAACTGGTAACAATCCCCCTTTGGTTTCGAAGGCTATCAATTTTTATGGAAATAGATTGCCTCATTTTCCTCCCACGGAGCAACTGGTGGGTTGAACCACCAACTTTCTACTTGGCAGCCAAATGCCTTATCCACTATGCCACCAGGGCTCCATTACCATATTTACACAAATTTATACGTACATTTTAATAAAATGACGTTTATTTATAAATGCAAATAAGAAATTCTTTCACTAGTTAAGAAAACTATTTACTTATTAAGTAGAATTTTTTAGTAGTTAAACTAAAACAAATCTTTCAAAACAAGGTTAAAAAATTAGCTCATTTTTTGATTGCTGAAAAGAAATAAGAAAATCAATACCGTTCTCAATAGCTACCAAAAAAATAAAATACTTGGGAATAAATCTTACCAGAGGCACAAAA